ATCAATTAGGTAAAACTTCATGATATTCAATATTTATAATACTTAAAAATATTCCTTTAGCTCATCATAATAAAACTGATGCTAAATTTTTATTATGATATATTCCTAGTTTTGAATATCATAGTTTATCAGAAAACAATTAATATAATTTTGCTCAGCAATATTAAATCTTTTTTACTATACACTTGCAACAATATTATAACTATTAAGAGTTATAAGCAATAAAAGCATATATTTATATGTCAATAATAATATTAAGTGATTTTATTCATATTTGGCATTAATAATTGCAAATTAACCTAAAGCATGTATTATGTGTGCTACTTATGGATTATCAAATTCTTTATATCCTTATCTTTTTTGCTTAATTGATCGTGATGCATTAAATAATGTTTATATTAAAAATGAAGACATTATTATTCGTAATGAGAATAATACCAAAAATATTTTATATTAAAATAATAATAAATAAATCTCTATATATAATGTGAGAAATTCTTTATGAAAACTTCTGTAAGTAATTTTATATTTATATTTTATTTATTTTTTAAATTAATAATATTTATGTATTATAGATATTTTGATATTTATACTATATGCATGATTGATTGTATATATTATATAGACCTTGGTCTTTTTCAATATCAATTACAATTTATTGTTGAATTATTAAAATTTAATTATATTAATAATTCAATAAGAATTCTTGAAAAATTTTTATTTCAAATTCCTTGATATTCAAATCTTAAAATTTTTAAAAATAGATTTGAAAGATTAAATTGATTAACTGTATCTGAATACTGTAATTTAATGAAGATTATACTATTTATTTTAGATGAACTAATATTAGATAAAAATCTTAATAAGAATTTGTGAGACCTTTTTTATTATAGATTAATATGTATATATGGAAGTATCAACAAGAATATACTGAATCAGTTTTTTATGAATTTGAGATAAATTTACTAATAATAAATAATTTTTTATATATTTGTTTAATAAAAATTAATGCTAATTTATTTTTTTTTATTAAAAGAAATCTATTATTATATAGAGTAATTTATTTATTATACTCATGTTAAAAATTTCTCCATCAAATTTAAACTTATCCAAATTACACAGTTGGTATTATCATTTAATACCATCTATTCATCAGTTTGTACAGTTCAAATAAAGAAGTATCAGATTATCAAGTTTTAGACAAATATCAGGATAAATTAGGAATCGATATTTACTGAAACTTGATATAGTCACATCAGATAAGTATCGATATAATTGTTACCATATGATATTTAAATATAGGACCTGATATTATAAAGGAAAATCAAGTAAGTTCCAGAATTTTATAGGATAATCTGATAGATTCTGTATTCTAGAAATTCATTGTCCTATCAGATACCCGATAGCTTTTTGATTTACTACGTCAAATTGGTTAATACATAGTAATTTTTATTAAAGTTTTTGGATTAATATTTTTTTTAAAAAAAATAGAACAATTATATTTCACAATCCAACTACTAGGACAAATTTTTTTTAATCAATAATATATATTTATTGCCATATTAACTAAGAGTTAGTTACAAGCTACAATTATTTCATAATTTGCTAATTATCTTATAATTCAAAAATGTATTACTTAATTAACCCAATTAATATATTAGAATGTAATACAAAACCTAAATTAAAATAAAATGTAACATTAAAATCTCTCGTAATAAAAAAAACTCTCTCTCGAAAATAAAAATGCATATACCATTAATAATCAAATATGAAATTTTCTATTTATTGGAATAATTGACATGTACTTTTTTGGTTTTCTTTGACTGACTTCAAAACTTCCTAAAACAAATTGACATAAAATATTGTGGATAGGAATAATACAATCTCTTTCAACTTCATAGAATTTTGATTTTCATAATTCGATGTTGCAGGATTTATCATCATCTATTTTGCAGTGGAATCTAATATTGTGGTTTTCAGACGGTTTATACCATCTAACAAATGCTAAATAATGTGTATTTTCCTCCAGTAGATGAACTGTATATTCAAAATAGAACTGGGCTTGACCAGGGTATACATCAGAATTATCATCATCTGTAAAGAAACGGACCAATATTTTTGCTGATTTGACATATTGAGAAGATAAGGTTGACCCAAACACTTCCGTTACAATTCTTAATTGGCTAAATTGATTAACATTTGGATCAACAGGAATAGAAAAATCTGGAGTATTATGAATTCGTAACAATGTAATAAAGTCTTTATTGTATGTATTACAATAAAAATCAACTAATAACTTTTGAAGTTCTTGCTGCAGTGTCACATTTTATTTTAATGGCCTAGAAAAGAGCCTGGAAATAGTTCAAAACCATAAGCTACTTCTTTTTCTATTTTTGTTAATAGTAGGCAGAATGTTCAATATTCTTTATCAGAATATTCATCATATGTAGAAAGACTTTTAACTGAATCTTTCAGTTTTAATATTTCAAGATTTTCTTGAAAATGCCAGTTCTGTTCAATGCGAGATGTTAATTCATCCAAAAGAGTATTATTTTGAATGACATTCATAAGCTCTAATTCAATCTTTCTATGATTATTATTAAATGATCCTAAGTATTTAGATATTCAGTAAATGCTAGTATCAAACAATAATATTAACAAGATGATTACCTAATAATCCATTCATATTTTCCATTGAGTAATACCAAAAGGCATACTAAAGACCATAATCCAACATGCATTCACATAAACACATGCATAGATGTAAATTTAGAGAAATTTTTTTAGATCCGTATATTCGTTCAATTTCTTTAACCATTTTTACTAAACGCTGATAGGCTTCTATTAGATCATTTTTTGATACTATTCTATACACTAAAATGTTGCAAGTACGGACGAAATTTACCAGAATTTTTCAGTCAACTTCTTTCAAGAGATCCCAAGTAATGGTTATTATATATATTAATATGAATGTTTTCTACTGATCTGCAGAAAAACTGGAAAAACCTTTTCCTGTATCTATTTTGCTTAGAAGCCTACCAATATCAGTTGGTACTTGTATTTGATTGGCTCTCTTTTGCATAATTGCAAGATCAGATGAGATGAGCTTTTTTTTTCAATTCATAGTCTCATCATAATCCACTTTGTAATGCTGAGAAAAAGACAATGCATAGGATCTATAATTAGAAATCATATAGGATTAAAGTAAGATAAGCGATATATCTCAGACCTTTGTATAAAGGTTTTTAATATATATTTTCGTCTTTGCTCATCTGTTTTACAGTTTTTTCATTCAAAAGCATTTTTTTTAACCTCTTCAACATTTCTTTCTATAAACCAGCTATCCATATTAGCCAATTCTCCAAAATTCAGCTGGTTTTTTTATCAAAATTAGCATATTTAAGATATAGATAATACGCAATATTCGCAGATATATACCTGCATAGCTTTCTTGCTGCAGGTATATCACAAGCACAGCAAATAACAGCCCCTCTGATCATCTTTCTATTAGAATTTTTGAAAGATTCTGGTAATTCTATTTCTCGCCATAATTTAACTAATTGATTAACTAAAGGGCTAAATAATAATTTATTTGGTGTAGTTTTGGTTCCTTTAGACTCAGAATCATTGCTAACGTTAATATATTGGATGGCTTAAATTGTTTATTACGAGGCAAGTTATATATTATAGCATAGATTGCTTTTGTGCTATATTGAGAGTTTTCAAAGGGCTGGAACCAATCTATATTAAGCATTATTCCAATATGAATATCTGTTAAATTTGGCTGAAAAAAGATCGAATCATTTTCATTTTTAAAAGATTTTCATATTCTCCCATCATATATTCAGCAAGAATTTCTGGATCAGAAAGACGATTAACCCACTTTTTACAAGATTCTTCAAATCCTTTTCTTTTAAATAGGAGATTCAACTGGTGTTTTAAGCTGATAGTGAAAAATATTGAACTTGGCTTTTTGATTATTCCATTTTTTATATTAACACATTTGTATAAAATTCTTTTATAGGCATTTCATTTATTATTCATTGAATGATTCAGAAATTCTTAGAATATATACTTAGTGATTTTAGATGTGATTTTAGGTGTGATTTTAGGACAATCACTAGACACATTAGCAATATTATATAACTTACAACAGTTTTCACAGTTCGCATAGTTAATTAGATTGGTACAAATGTCAAAATTCTTTTGCATTACATATTGTCACTGGGTTCATTTTCATTTATCTTAATGTTTAAGTTAAAAGGCTGCAGCAGCTGATTTTACACGTTGAAGTTTCTGATCTTAGGATTTTCTCTAAGTCCTACAGGTATCCATTATACTTAAATCAACTCAGCAATTTATCACGTCTTAGAGTTTAAGATATATTTAATTGAACTCATAATAACGAACTCAATAGCAAGTTAGTGTAGTGTATCATAACAATTCTAGATAAGAGATAATATTGAAGGGAAAAGTAGTTTGTGTAAATTTAAATGGATTTCTTTATTTATAACTTAAAACTCGCAAAAGAGTTAATTTACAACTTAAGCAAAAAGTTATTCTATTTATACAAATGAATTTGCTACAGCTAACTATTTGCTACACTATAAATTAACTAAATATATATATATGTCTCAATAAAAGTATACTTAAATATAATAAAATAATAAAAATAATAAAAAGAAATAAAATAAATTACAGATGTTAAAGAAATTATAAATAAAATAAAGTAAACAGATTAAACAGACTGTTTAGAAAATACAGGAAAAACAAGCATGTCAGGTGAAACAGAAATTATTGCTGATCACTATTTGGCATAGCAGTGACATCATCTAATGTGAAATCATTATTGATTAACATATCCCACATGATATTTGGAATTGCAATTTCTTCAGTTGATAATATAGAGAAGTGGGAAAAGCAGAGAATAATTTTTTGTTTATATTTATAAGAATATAATGAAAAAACTTAAAGAGTGAATTTGTGGTCACATTAGATAGTCAAAACCTCTCCTGGTACTTCAAAATCCATATTATAATCCATAAAAAGGAATCATCAAAGCTTTCTTTAGCATACTTAAAATCATTTTTTTCTGATTCAGTTTCTAGTACATCAAAATTCAATTGAAAATCTTCGTCTGAATCGTCTGAGGAGTTTTCTAAAGCATCATCTTCAAAGGTTCTTTTATTGTCTTCTTCAGATATATCATTACCATCATCACTATTACTATCAAAAAACAGTTTGCTTACTACTTCCCGAATTGAGATTTTAGACTTCCTTTTTTTCTGAGAATAACTGACATTTTTTTAACTAAAAATGAATAGTTTTCTTCATATGATTTTTGTGGTTCTTTATTATTAATATCTATAAGATTTTTTAAAGGAGATAATAGAGTAACAGATAAAAATAGATTAGTCGATTCTTTAATTTTCCTTTGAGATACAATAGGCGCAATCTTTTTTTTAGAATAGGCTGATTTAGTTCTAGGGTCTACCAATTTTCCATTACAAGCTTGACAATAACATGATATATGTTTTCAGGTTTAGGAAAAAGGAACATATGAAGAAGTTTTGTTACTTTTATTTAAAGATATTGTTAATTATATCAATTTGAAAATGATTGAAAATTTTTAAAATGAAATTGTAAGTTTTTATATTGTATTTTTACTTAACATAGCTAATCTGATATACTAATAGTTTAATATATGACTTTTTACTAAATATAGATCTGATCATGAAGTTTATTTAATATATAAATAGTTAAACATGATACAGCTTTAAGTTGAATGAATTTTTTCTCAGAGATCACAAAGTCTATTTAATATATAAATAGTTAAATATGATACGAATTTAAGTTGAATGAATTTCTTCTCAGAGACAAAGAAAAAAAATTAAGAAAAAATATTATATCATAGTAACTTTCTTTTACTAAGTGTTTAATATACAAACTTCTAAATACAGATTATTATATTGGTTATATCTGATTTGTTAAAAAAAACACTTATATATTAACGATTTTATTAGTTTACAAAATTATAAAATCTATCGAAGTAAGAAAATTCAAGAGAAATGTCATTATACAATAGGGAAGAGTCACTATACAGAGAAGGTTCATATGGAAGTAAAAGGCATATACATGTAAGAGGTAGAAGTTGAACTTTACGTATTCTTATATCATCAGAAAGAAGAGGCAGAGTACTAAGTTGTACTTCTAATTTATTAGAAAGAGAGGCAGAGACCGAGAAAGAAGAAGAAAAGAAAGAAGTGTTAGTAAGGATTATAGAAATATTAGAGGGAAAAAAGAAGCAAAAGAAGTGAAAGTAGAGAAATTAGAAATCAGAAAGGTAATAAATTTTTATGGTAAGAAATATTGAATATTAATAAAAAGATTTATTACAATTTGTTATTTCAATAAAAAATTGTGGAGTTACATTCAACTGTCTTGAAATTGATTGAAGAAGTAAGAGAACTTTATCACAGAAATAAGAGTCGAACAAGAATATCTTCATTGTCTTCTGACTCTTTAGCTAACAGGAATTTTAAAGAAACCCAGAATAATTTGAAACCTATGAATAACAACTATAAAAAAGCTTTTTGTGTTAGTATGAGTACTTGATTGATTGTCATTTTTTAATGGTTAGTTTATAATTGTGTAAATATATTTAATTTAACTAATACTTTTTATCTATTGTAAAATAATGTTGATCAAATTTTAAAGGGTTTGAATGACTCTTTAAGGTTAAATCATGAAAAATTTTAGACTGAAATCGAAGTGTACGTTATTCAAAATATGATACTAGTTATAAAAAGGGTATTCAGAGATAGATTCCAATATACTAACGCAAAAATGAAGAAGGTTCTACAGAAACTTCATTGCGATAGAAGAGATGCGCATACCGTTTCATTAAATTTTTTAAAGTCTAAGGCAAACAAGCAAAGAGTTAGTGTAAATAGTAGACGAAAAGATGTAAGTATTATATGGTTTAAGGATAACTTTATATAGAATCAATATTCTACATTCATTTCAAAATTTCATTTTGTTTAATGGAGGACTTTTTATTACTTCTGAAAACTCATTAATTACATTAATATTTATTATTGTATTTATTACAAAAAAAAGTATCAGTGAAAAAGAGCACTACAACATATACTAGATGCTAATGATCAAATGCTAACGGACTTACAATTTTCAATGGAATAGAATGATTAGATTAAGGACCTAAAAAAGGTCATTGATGATTCTAGTTACCACTTGACGAACTTTCTGAATCAGATAATGAAAAAGGTAATGCATTTTTATCACATATAGTTATTAATACTCTATTGATTAAGTATTAATCACTTTCTTTTCTAGCATAAGAAGAAAAAGATAAGAAGATTCGTCCATTTAGAAATGAAAATTCAAATCATATTATTTACATATACGACAAGAGATAGAGATCGCAAAGGGTAAAACATTGATTTTAGCATTTAATAATTATTGATAGTATGTAATATTATAAATTTATTAATGACAATTATTGAATATGATCTAAATTTTTTTATTAGGTTCGACAATTTTTACAGTATGCAGATTTCATAAGAAAAACTACCTAAAACATCAAAGTTGCAAGAAAAAGGTGGTATGATGATAATACATACGTAAATAACTCCAAGCTGCCTTTCGATACTTCAAAATAGACCATTTCATCTTCATACTGATCTAAATAGAACTGTGTTTATTTACTAATAATTGTAATTTATTTTCATTTATAATTAATTGTTTATTTTTTATATATATAGAACGTTGTGTTTAATTAATAGTGTTTAACAATATAATTATCAATAGCATATCATTTATTAATAGTGTATTACAATAATAGATATAGTAATAGAATAATGAATTGTATAATATTTTATTTTATTTTAAAATGTTATTTATAACATAATATTAAATAAAGTCAGCATATTACATGAAATTAATTATCTATATTGATATATAAATTAAATATCAGGCTCTACATAAAAATGATATATACCTGATTTATTGAAAAATTATATACACATCAGGTTATATAAGGATATCTGATGTTCCTTCTGATATTTGTTCTAAATTTATATGATTCTTACCTGAATTATCCCAACCTGAATATCCTATAAATTATTTGTGATTATTGCTAAAAACTGGTTAGAAATCATATAGGGATATCAGATTTCTTTCAAACTGAATTCGATTAAAAAAAAGAGGACTATCAGGTGACCAATGATCACTTGATAGCCTTTCATTCGACCTGTGTTGGTATTATTAATAGATTTACAAGTGAAACATATGATTTTTACATAAATTTAATATCATACAACTATATTGTATAACAAATAAATATCAAATTAATACACAAATGTAAGCTAATATATGCTATCAAAACATATTAACAAATATTATATTAAAATTTCAGCTATAATCTTATATTAAAAGTATTTATCATAGAATTATATCTAAAAAAGCTACTAAAAAAATGATACAACATACAATTGATCAATTTACAAATCAACTAGAAAATACATAAAATAATACATATGAATTATGGATTTGTGAATTAAAAAACTTAAATTAGCTATTAATGATTATCTTTAAAATATTGAAAAATGGTTATTACAAAAAATTGGAAATAAAATTATTTGTATAGAATTGTTTGAATTTGCATATTTGGATAATGATTATAAAATAATTATTTATACTACACCTGATTATTATGAATAAAATGCCTATTCAAAAGTCTATGTTAAAATAGATGAATTAGAACATAATAATCATTACTTAATAGATAATAGTCTATGCTATGCAAAGGTATTATATTAATATGAACTAATAATTTTATTAAATTTTTATTATAACAATTTAATATTATTTTACATATTATAGGTTCTTTTTATTCTTCAGATTAATTCAAAAAAACTGGATCAACAGAATATTGATCTTACACTTGTTTATTGGTATGACTTTGCATATCCAGATGATATTCAAAAGCAATACTTTTATAAATGTGTTATTATTAAACATGTCGAATATTATACATTAATTCCTATTGCTTCAATTGTAAATATAGTGCATATTATACCAAAATTTAATAACCCAAGAATATTTTTTTGTAAATAATTATATTAAATATTATTAAATAATTACTTAATATTTAAATGCTTTTAAAATAATAAATTCACATGCTTAATTAGTATTTTTTTTAGAATAATTAATAAATATTAAATCAAAACACTTTTTAAATATATTTTAAAATAGCAGTTACAAAGCATTTATAATTAGAATTTTATTTGTATTATATTACAGTAGTAAATAAATGCTTGTTTTAAACATGAAAAAGTGCATAGTGAGCATTAAGCATTCAGTAAATGTTATCAATGATTGTGCTTAATAAATATAGGGTAAATGCTAGGCCAACTTCGTGATGGAATTAATATTTTTCATAGAAATCACCAATCTGAAAGCGTTATATAAATACATAGTATTCAAATGTTATTAACAAGTTTCATTATAAAAAACTGCAATTTTAATTTACGACGACATTTCAAACATGTCAACATTTATTCTTACGATTGATTGGTTAAACAATAGATAAGTCACCTATTTACAAATATTTTTATACATTAACTGGTCTAGTTTACACTTTCATGGAGAAATTTATCAATAAACAGATTTTTTTTTAAATCTACTATTTTCTTTGGTGGACGGAAAATTTGAAGAATCTTTAGATTTTCGACAAGTTAACCCTTCTAAAATTGCAAGTTTTGTCAATATATTGTACAAATTGAATTCTTAGAACGTAACGGAGGAACTTGGGATTCACAAAACTTTGTTCATTACGCACTTTTTAAAATCACTTTTTTTATTATGAGCTTTGCTTTATTATTCTCATTTTCAAATATAATATACTTTTTTATCATATTATTATTTCTTGAGCATATATCATTAATTAATTATCTTTAATAAATTGCAATGACCTATTAAATAAACGAACATCCAATTTTAACTTGATGTAATGTGGTAAAGGAAAGTTCATACATATCATTTATTAAGTTATAAAAATCTTGAACTAGAAACAGTTTAAAAAATAAAAATTTAATTAATAAACTACTGTTACATTGAATATAATTTCGCCCGAAATCTCCATAATTCCGCATGGATCGCTTTCGATATTTGTGTTTAGTGTAATTAGTCGTATGACAAAATTTCAAGAACGCCAGGATGTCCTAATTATATATTTTTTTTTTATATACACAAACCGGAAATTCTTAAACAGCCAACATTCTACGCTCACCCTTATTATAATTTGCGTACATTAACCTCAAAATCCTTCCTTTAACACCTTCACGACATTTTCGCCTTCGCCGTTTAATGTTTTAGATCTCGTATTTGTAACTTCGTTTATTTTTTTAATTTACGATTTTTAATGCTATTCAAATATTTTGTAATTATTCGTAGTTTCGCTGTCTTAATTAATTTATTGCAAAAGTTTAGAGCGTCGACGTTGAGGAAATACTGACTTGATAATATAAAATAAATATATG